CTACTTGGGAGGCTGAGGCAGGAGACTCGCTTGAGCCCAGGAGTTAGAGGTTGCTGTGAGCTGTGATGCCACAGCACTCTACTCAGGGCAACAGCTTAAGGCTCTGTCTCAAAATAAATAAATAGGGTGGTGCCTGTGGCTCAAAGGAGTAGGGTGCCGGCCCCATATACCGGAGGTGGCGGGTTCAAACCCAGTCCGGGCCAAAAAAGAAAAAACTGCAAAATAAATAAATAAATAATGACAAATAATCTTTGTCAATATAGTCCCATGGTTAGTAATAAATTTAATGTTTTATAAACCAAATAAGTATCCTCATTCTTTATTAAAAGTGCTTTGGTCATTCAATCCAGTTTATTGATTCCCTAAATGACTGCTAGCGTCTGCAGCCCCCTGCCTTATACACACACAGGTTTTTCCAGATGACTGTTATGCCAAACCAGAAGCACTAAAGGAAATCACATTCATTTTCAAACTAGCTTTTACTTACTTACCATTGGCATCTGGTTTGATTTTCTCTTCCTTAAGATGCAAGTTGCTCAACTAAATGAAGAATATGGGGAGGGGAAAGCGTCAGGAAAATCACTTAAAAGATTTTGAATTAACAGAGTCTCCCTAATGAAGCTGGGGCGGAGAGAGCCACTCTCATGCTATGTTCATTTACTACATTGTTCTACTGGAATCCTTTTGTTTACTAAATGTTTAAATGAGAACTAAATATCCCATAAACACAGCAATAGCAAGAAAAGATTGTACAGCTCAAAATCTATACTTCCTATTTTTAATTCCAAGAAAGAATTACAATTTGTAAATTAGCTTAACGTCCTTAAATAGAAACTCTCAATAGAATATCATTACAGTTGTCACTTTCTCATATTCCAAACAAGAGGAAATTTAAACAGATTTTTGGAAAATGTAGTCACACTTCAGACAGAAAACTCTGAGTAGGGAAGATTGCAATGAAAAGCATCGGTGGGTGGGGATCAGTTGTGCTGCAGAACATGCTCCAGCCCAGGACCACAGCACGCTGCCTGCTGATATGCAGCCTCATATCCAAGTTGCTGTTTGCTGAGTGTCTAATATTTTCATTGGGAAGAAGCTGGAGCATCATGGCACATTGTATAATCAAAATACCTACCAAGGGCTAGGAGCAGTGGCTCGTGCCTGCAATTCTAGCACTCTGGGAGGCTGAGGTGGATAGATCACTTGAGCTCAGGAATTCAAGAAAAACCTGGGCTTGGCACCTGTGGCTCAAGTGGCTAAGGCACCAGCCACATACACTTAAGGTGGCGGGTTCAAATCCAGCCCAGGCCTGCCAAACAACAATGATGGCTGCAACCAAAAAATAGCCGGGCATTG